CATCTGCTTGACCAATCCCAGTGGCTGCCTGGTGGGGTCTGGGTCCCTGGGCTCTGCTGGGTCCCCAGCAGGGGGTGGTCCCCCCTGGGTCCCGGGTCATTGGGTCCTGGGCTCGGCCGGCTAGGGGGTGGGAGCCTGTGGGCTTGCCGCCGATATCTCCTGGGACTCTGCCAGCTACTGGTTGTGGCCCCCCAGGGCAATCCTCTGCGCCTCTCGAGGGGAGCGGGGGCTTTTCTGGTCGCAGTCTCCCTGGAGTTCCTGTGCTCTGGGGCAGCTCCTGGATTTCTGGGACTTGGAGCTCCCTCCATCTCCTACACATCTTTAGGGGGCAGATCTGTGGCCCCTCACACCCTCTATTGGACGCTCCTATAGAGAAACTTTACATAAACAAGCACGTGTACACACACAGGTGCTCACATGGTGCTCTCATAAGTATGGGCTTGGGCACGTTCAACACATGTCTTAAGGCTATGGTGGGCACTAAATGCACTGTGGTTTATTATTGTGTGATTGTTCAGTTAAACAATGTTGATTATGTATTTCTTCATCAAGTTGGCACAGTGATAGCTTGATCTTGTTGTATTGTTATTGTGTCCCATTTTTGTGTTTTTTCTTTTTTTCCTTCTCTCTTTATGCAGGTCTAGAAGCAGATTCTTGCTCATCATTGTTTATGTTTGATGCCATCATGTTAATATGGACCAAAATCTCTGAGAAATGTTTCCTCTACACAGCTGAATCCATGCCATGAAGGATTAAGGCAGTTCTGAAGGCAAAAGGGGTCTAGCCTATGGTCTAGCCCAGCAAGGTGTACCCAATAAAGTGGCCAGTGAGTGTAACCTGTTTGGCCTCATGTTTATATGCTGCCATCTGGTGGCCAAAATCTGGTACTTCAAGGCAATAGCAGCACCAGCAGTAATTTTACAATCATTTGTTTGAAAAAGGAGTATAAACATGTTTAGCCCCACCCTTTAGATGTACCTAATCCCTTACTATAGAAAAAGTTTTTCAGTTTACAAAAACATAATAGAAACAGAAAAACCATAACAGACGCTCTTTCAACTAAATATGTAATCTAATATAATCCTAACTAGAAAGACGTTTTTTTCTGTTCACAAAAATAAAAACTAAACAAATAAACAAACATATGTAAAGAGGTACATCAAATGACTCCTCTCAGAGAGTCATTTTTAGTATTTCAGAGGTAAAAACAGATAACTAGTATACATTTAACAAGTAACATTAAGAAATACTTCAGTGCCAGAATACTGAGAAGCAGAGCGTAGACCTGAAGCCTTTTAGTTTGGGGATCTTAGAGGGAAGAGCTCCTGCATATTTCCCTCCTGTTGGACTGTTTCTGACTGATTAAAATACCCCTGCCACTAATTATGAAGGCCTTCACCGCCTGTCTATTCTCCATCTGTCTAATTGTGCTGTAAAACACCAATCTGTCACCACATGTGGATAAACGATGACATATTTGTTTTTGCCTTTCAGAAACAACTTTGCCCTCTGTTTAATTTATTTGACAGAAGATGAAAAATAATTCTGCTCTGATTTCTGGAGGTTTACCTTGAATCAGATCCATCTGAGTCCACAAAGCACAACCTGCTGCAGGCGACAGGAGCCAATAGGAGCCCTGTGGTTAATGAATGATCCTTTTGATTTCATTTTTAACATTTACAGCTTCGTATTGATCAGCAGGCTGCTGCTGTGACAGGTTTCATACAACAGAGCTCCAGACTTGTCTTTAGCTTTCTCAGTAGTCAGACTAAAGTGGTTTTCAAAATGAGCAAAAAAAAAAAAAAAAAAGAAAAAAGAAAAAATGATGACCACAATTTCAGTCGCTATTGTCTGGCTGCTGCCACACTTCTCCATGGAGACTGATCAGAATATTAAGGAACTGAGCTGCACCTCAAAGTCTCATTACTACTTCAATCAAAGGTAGGAATTACTGCTATCAGCCACAACTGAGACACCGTCCCTTGAGTTTGTAGCATTAAATGTGTGTTGGCTCACAACTGCAAGGAGAAATTATAATCTGATCAGTTCTGAATTACACCAAAGAGAGGCACCCTGGGGAACAGCGATGACAACTTACTCTGAGTCCTCACTAGCTGCTGGCTATGATAATTATTCACACAGTTTTGTATTGAATACAGAGGAAGGTTTTGATGAGAGAGAGAGAGAAGGAGCAGCTCTGCATCCAGCCCCGCTGCCTGCTAAACACTATGAACTCAGTGAACCGGGGCTGCAGGAGCTACAGAGGAATTACAGGGCAGAGAGATGTGCAAAAGGCTGTATGCAGTTCCACGTAATTAGAAACTTCGGCTCGGTCCTTTTGTGTTCAATGCTTTTATTTTTCATCTGACACACCACACACAGGACTGATGCATGTACCCGTATTCTTACAGCGAACCATTTCAGGGTTGTTTGCATTCAGCACATTTAGATCAACATTCTGCAACA